TTGTCAAAATATTATAATTAGCTTTTATGTTGTTTATTTTTTCCTATTGTGCCCGCAAAGGAGCACACACTGGTCCAACGCAAACATGGATATAACAAGAGATAAAACCAAGCAGAATAGAACACAGTTTGGTGCGTATGAAAATCCTAATGATTTGTTTTTGTGGTTTGGTAACACGGAATTTTCTTAAGTATATGAATTTTGGACTCGTGACTGATAAACAAACTTGGGATACACATAATAATATACTAACCACATGTATCGGATAAATCCAAATTTTATGCAACTAATCGGCTCGAACTTACAAGATGTATGTTTACACTTCACTTCTTGCTCAAATACTAAACCAACTCGTTTAGTTTGGTAGTGCTCAGTTGCATTCGGAAATGAATCCACAAAATGGAAGTATGGTTAATGTTGAAATATAAATATTTAAGTTACAATTGTTAGAGTAGATGTTTGTTTATTATGGTATCAGAACAGGAAATCATGTGTTCAAATCTCGCCGATACCCTAACTTTTAAAAATATTTTTATGTGCTAGACCTAAAATTTAGTCTGTACATGATCAGACACATTAGAATAGATGGTTGTTTAACAGTCAAATAAAATTCAGTCTTTCTTGAAAGTCTAGGGCATGCAACATCAAAGTTTTGATAAGATAATGTAATGCTTACCTTTTATCTACAAATTGCAAGAAAATGCTAAGAAAGATAGGGAATTTGATGGTGAGACTGGCCTGCTAATCAATTTGAAGCTTGGCCTCTTCTCACACTAGTCTGCGTCGTGGTTGCTATTTGTAGGTGGCCCCTAATGATAATACAAAAACCTACTGACCATGACATAAGGGCGATCTTTTCATAGGGGAGAGGGACTTATTCACTACGCCAAAAACAAAAAAAAACATCTACAGTAATTTTTTTTTCTTTTTTTGGATTAATGATCGAGAATACCCGAGTCAACTTACGCATACTTTAATTAATCACCTCTTCAGTTCGGTCAAAGACAGGTCATCTGGGTATTTATGAAGAATACTTTTTGGCTTGAACTACTTCTTGGGTTAACATCTACAATAATTTCAAGACTAAAGTTTGGTTGAATAGTTTTTATTGGAAGAATATAGAGAATGGGAAACAATTCAGGATGCAATCACCGGTTGACTCGAGGCCGAGTAGCATGCTACCGAAAGTTATAATTTGTTAAAATCAAATTATAATTTTTTTAGGGTATTAATTATAATTTTAAAATGCACAATCAATTACAAAATATTATAATTAATCATAAAAATTTTAATTTTTAAAAGTTGAAATCATAACTAATTGATATTATTCATGATCGGTCACAATATTTCATGGCCGATCATGAATAAATTTAATCAATTGTAATTTTTACCTTTAAAAAATATAAATTAAGCATTAAAAAAAATAACTTTTGGCATAATAAGGCATTTCTTGTGGTAATGTAGACCAATCCCAGTTTGATAATCGTGGTACAATCATCCGTTCCATAAGTCAGGATTCCTTGCTGTTGAAGTAAATTCAGTCTTGTGTACCAAAAAAAAAAAAAAAGAAGAAGAAGTACATGCTGCCTTTTTTTGGAAAATTCTTTGGTGCTAAAATTTTTTTAGGATAAGAATTGTTGATTACACTTTTACATGGTAAAATTACAACTTTAAAAAATAAAGTAAGGAGATCATGATCGATCACAGATATCTATGATCGATCATGCCTTTTACAGTTGTAATTTACATCTCAAAAAAATTATGATTAATTTAATCTTAAAAAATTATAATTTGAAAAATCTCATCTTTTCTTGGTTCAAATTCCTACGGAATGCTGCAGGTCTAGTGAACCCCAAGTTAGCTCAGGTTGTAATAGAAATAAGTTGTAAATTCAAATATTTTAACTTTGAATCTTGAAAACTCTTAAAGATTTGATCATGAAAGTATTTTTTTTTTTTTTATGAATATTTTAGTCTCGACGTAAATAACTTATTTTTAATCATACTGAAAAGAGATTAATTAAAGTGCATTGAGCTAGCCCAGATACTCTAATTGTGGAACCAAAAATAAATAAAATAGAAACTCTAGCCAAGAAGGAGAAAGGCCTATTAGCTGGAAACTCAAATCCAATCTAAATCTGATTTGAAATCTTGAGTCGAAATTGGATTTATATATCTACCGAATTTTTTTTTATATTTTTTATTTCAATTTTTCAAAAACCAAAAAAATATAGTAGCGATTGGATTCACTGATCCAATAATCTTCCTTGATTTAAAATAAATATTTGAGTTATAAATTTAAGTTATATATCATTATACAAAATTCAAATTCTCCGTACGAAAGTCAGCAGCATTATACATGGTAATCAATGAGTTTGGCCAGCACATTCTGCAGCTATAAAACACCAGATCGAGGCTTCAGTGCATACGTATAGGCCTACCCAACATGCATATCAGGAAACGATGAATAGATGTTAACAGCTAGTGTGCACATTACCAGACGATGAATTTAAGGATACTAACACAGTGATGCAGCTCATCAAGCATATATGCCATAAGAAACAGGTTAATCTCCTTAAGGTTTAAGGGGATGTTTGTGAGGAATGGGGCTTGACAAGATAGGTTGGGGGAAATTTTTTTGAAGGATCCCTAAATTTTATGTTTGGGTTGAAAATTTAATATCGAGTTCCAAACTCGGCCCGTAGCTGACCCGAATATTAAATCTATGACCATGGATTTCGTTAAACTTAGGGGATAAATTTGAGAAGATGGGTTAAGATATTAAAAATACAAAAGACAATTGTACCATTTAACATAGCTATGAATTAGATTGATTAAAAGTAAAATAATTATTTATAGGATAAATAGTTGTTAATAATTATAATATATCTGTAGATTTTATATGTATATGTATTGCATACCAATCATGAGTATGAATCAGATTCAATGTTGAATCCTATTTTTGTCAAAAAGAATTTGAGTTTGAAAGGGTTTGAAGAAATCATTCCATACCTTCCCAAAAAAACCATTGAAATAAGCCCACAGGGCTTAGCTCAGAATCTATACTTAAATGCAATTTTGGAAACTTTCCCATAGCTGTGCAAGAGGATCACAGAAACTGATAATTGAGTTGAGCTATTTGAATTCAATTTAGGCTCAACTCGAATTCGGCTCGTGTACTACATGAATCGAACTTGAATAATTTATTACGCTTATTAAAAAAATGAGTATAAAAGACTCTCTACTCGAAGTCATAAATCTCGACTCGTTTATATATAAAATAATCGAGTTACTCAGGCTCAGTTCAAGTTCAACCCATTTTTTAAACGAGTCGAGATTGAACAATTTATTAAGCTAGTTTAAAAAAATGAAATCGACAAACTTGACTCAAACTCACAAAACTGAACTCAATTATGAACCCTAATGATTACAAAGGGAATTACTGGGGTCGTCTACAACTCATCTGTTTTTTGTAATCACTGACCTCCTAGAAGCTTGATTCTATGAAAAGTATTGGCTCAAGGCTAATACTTTTCTCAGAATTATTAGTTCTTGAGGTCAAGTCTTTTGCTTTGTGCTTGGATGTCACTGTTGGTGGAAGTGATACGTGATTTTGAATGGAGGGTACTATCCTCTCTTTGTACATTTTGCTTCTAAAATTAACATACAAGTTTACCTTACAAAAAAATACCAAAAAAAAAAAAAGAAATGAAGAGAAGGAAAGGAATGCCAAAGACTGCTTTTGCTTTCGCATAAGTAATAATACTGATGTGACATAATTTATTAACATAATTTATCATAATTATTAAAAAGTATTATTATTGAAACTTAAAAATTGACCGAATGATATGACAGTAATATGGTTTAATAATATTTTTGTGATTGTAACTATTGAATTTTTTTATATTAAGACTCTATCACTTGACATATTATTATACTAATAAATAAAATTAATTTTTTTGATTTCAATAACATTACCCATTATCAAATTGATAGTAAATTTTAATAAATAATAAAATTTACTATTAATTTAATATTTATAAATAATTAAGCTATCAAATTGAGTTTAAATGGCATTCGAGAAAAGCCCGAAATTCATGGGGCACACTCACCATGTCCGTGTACAAAAAGCAGCTGAAATTTGGCAACTCCAAACCACTAGGGCCATTGCATGAACAGCAGCTGTCCAAACACCCTGCATGCAATCCACGTGACTTGTATGCAGACTGACCTCACTTCCGTCACTTTTTCTGACACTCACAACCAAAACACCAACTCTACTAATTGGTACAATCTCCATGAAAGCATTCATGGCTGACTTCATAAACAAGAATTTAAGGTTAATATAGAAGTCTTTTACCAGAGTTAGATTCACCATCATTGAGGGATGAAAATACAGCATTGCTACAGAGAGAGAGAGTGAAAAAGACATGTCTGAAAAGTCTGATAAAATTTGTGTAACTTAAGAATCACTGTACGATGACATGACACCAGCGATCTAGATGGTTGAGAAGTTGACAGCATTGGCATATTTATATTTTAATCAAAAAATTCCATGAATGAATACTCAATGAAGTCAATTTTGCGAGCCTATCAATAACTAAAGTAATATAACGACCTGAAATCAAATCTTGTAGGACAAGATTGGGGCGAAAGTCTAGACTCATAATTAGAAGACGCAAATGATGGTATGAGATGCAAATCTTGTTAGATACAATCGAGGAGAAAGTCTAAACTCATCATTAGAAGTCACAAATGATGGTACGAAACGCAAATTTGTGTGCATAGTTTTCTAAATAATGGGTGTAGTGCTGAGAATTATTTTTCTGGTGTGTATCAAGTTTTGGTGATGTTTATTTATGTTTAGCCCAAAAAAACAAAAAGAAGGCAAAGTCACCCTTTCAAGAACATACCCAAGAAAAAAAAACCAGAAAAAGAAAAGAAGAAAACACTGAAATTTAAAGTTAAACGACGGAATCACCAAAACAGGTTCTCTTCATCTTACATATAACCATCAGAGAGCTCTTCCACTGCGGAAATTTTTGGGTTCATTATCGGATTCAAACCAAGGGTCAGCTCCAGAAGAATCTCACTATGGTCTATGTTACTCCCGGGTTTCACAGCCCAAACCGGTTCAGCCCGATTCACCAAGTTAGACTCTATGGTTTCAGGTTCAGCAGAGAATGAGTCATGACAAAGCACCCTGTTCAACTCATTTGGTTGATCGGAGTCCCACCCAGATGAAGTAGACCGAATTGGATCGGTGACCGACTCGATAGTCGAGACAAACTTGCCTTTGCCTTGGCCACCAGACCGCTTGAACCGGCTTCGAGTTCTCACTTGGTGAAGGCCATTGGATTCCTTGGAGAGATGGCGTATGTCACAGCCTTTGAGAGGCATGATAGCGTGTGCCTGAGCAGCAGCATCGTCAATAGGGACTTGCATGATCGGTGAACCTTTAAGCACAGCATCTACAGCTGATTGGCAGTGGTGCCAGTTACCTGACCACATCAACCCAACTGACCCATGTATTGGACTGATGATCCTCCCACATGCCTCGTATAGCAGTGACCTAAATATCACTGCAGAGAGAGAGAGAGAGAGAGAGAGAGGAATTAGGAAAAACCCATCTCAAGATAAACAGAATATACATGCATTATATGTCTTTGTCTCTGTTTGGATGAGTGAAGGTGTCAGTCTCTTGGTATTTGTATCAGAAGCCTAGGATCATCTGGCCTTGGCGGTTGTGGCCTTGTGGGTAAGGGGAGGAGGACTTACAGAAGCATAGCCAGGGCCCATGGGAACCGACAAATAGAAACATTGATATAGTGTGTCTGTGTGTGTATTGTATATATATGCCTACCAGGCCGAATGTGGTCAGGGCCGCCATTGATGAGGTTCAATAGGCCAGCACGACCGTAAAACTTTGCAAGGAAAATGGTGGCATTAGCTTGAGATTCAGGGGATTTAATCCATTGAAGGCAAGGTCTGAGGGTGCAGTCTTCACTACAGCCTTTGCGAAGGACTCTGCAGCCATTGCAGCTCATCCTCATAGCTGATAATCTTTCACAATCACAGAGAGAGAGAGAGAGAGAGAGAGAGAGAGAGAGAGGGATTTGGGTATTTAAGTGGTTGTGGTAGAAGTGTTTGTGGATGACTCAGCCGCGGTCTCTTCCTGAAGAGCAGTGTGTGTGAGAAAGCAGTCCTCAAAATCCAGAATTTATTGCTTCCATTTTGGGCTTTACTCGTAATCTTTCAGGTTGGGATGCTTTGTATCTCTATATACGGAGGCTGCCCCCACTTGTTTGGGCTTTTGTACCTTCCAAGCTCCCCTCCCTTTGCAACTGTATTACGAACCCGCCATACCAACGTGACCCTACTCCAGAGTTTTTTGTTTAATTATGATCAGGCTATCCGAATTACCATATGCGTATCTCCATTAATTTACTCATTAAGCCGGTGAAAAATAAGTAATTTATGTCGAAACTAAAAAATTCAAGAAAAACAAGTAATCCTTTAAACACTTTTCATTTTTCTTCATGTACCAACTACTCTTTCGAGTTTTTGAGTCCGTCATCATAACTCAACTTAGTTTTAAGAACAATTTTCCTGAAAAATAAAGATAATCGACCTTTACAGGTGAAAAAAATATCGAATATGAGAACTCTTATTAGTAAAAAGGCAAACTTGATTATTGGACCTCCCTAATAATTGACAAAACTAATATTTGAGCATTAAAGATTGGATATAATTTTTTTTAGTTGCATCGTATAATATTTAGAAACTAATTAAATAAATATCATTTAAACAAATATGACACAAGCAAAATCTTTAATCAAATTTTTTGTACATAAGGACGTGACACTGACATTTTAGAATCTATTTGATGTTAAAATTATGGTTTGGTTTGCAATAAAAGGAGACCATTTTGAGCACAATGTTTTTTTAATCTTGGAAACACATTTATTTCAATTTCTGTTTTAAAAAACAATTTATGTTTGTTTGTTAAGCATTATTGACCATTGGGTAAATAATTAATCAGTAATGCTATTGAGATTTAATTTACTGACATAATTTATTGACTTAATTCGCTGTGACTTTTAGATTCACTATAAACCTTATCAAATATTAGAACTTGTGCTTCGTTTGGTATGATAAAAAAAATAGAATGATGGAAAGTTGGAAAAATAGAAAGTTGAAAGGATAAATAAAACATTATGTTTGATAATGAAGAAAAATAGGAAGCAAGGAAAAGTTGATAGATTAACGTTCCTTCTAACTCACTAAAATTGGAAGAAAAATGGATAAAAAATTAATTATTTGTATTGATATGTATCTTATTTGTCTTTATATTATGTATATATTAATTTCATATAAAAATAGAATAATAAAATTTTCATTATGTATATATATATATAATTTAAAAATAAAAAATTTAAATTAAAAAATATATATTTTTCTCATGGGGTGAAAATTTTCGAATCAACACGATGACACGACTCGAATTTTATGATACGAACTTGAAAATGAGTTGACACGCAAACAAGAAATATAAAAAGGCTTATAATTTTATGACTCTACACGAATCTAACACGACACAACTCAATTGTCACTCCTAGTCTTAACCAGCACAAAAAAAAAAATTTTACAAAAAAATTATTTATTTTTATTTTCCATCCATTCAACTAAACACAAAAAAAAAAAAAAAAAAAGTGTTTTATTCCTATTTTTCATCCTTGAAGGATAAAAAGTGTATCCTCCTACTTTACATTTTTTTTACCAAACAGAGCATTGGTGTTGATTCAATAATTCTTATAAAATTATATTATTATGTAAACAAATTAAATCACTTTTTACATTTAAATAGTATTACTAATAATTAATAAATGAGTCCCCGTGCTTGCCATTCACTCTTTTCAAGATATAAACTTAAAACGATTATATATAAACTATTTTTGAGAAAATTAAGGAGATAATTAATTAGTGTTTACAAAAACTGGCCTTTACTCACTGAACCACAAAAAAAAATGAGAAGGGGTGCGAGGATCATGCAAGAGAATCCAAAAAAGGTGTGGATTTTGGCGCGTATCAAGCACATGGGTCAGCTCTCTCCAACTCCGTGCAGGTTGCCACATAATCATAATAATCACGAAAAACACCTACGCCCTGGCCCACCCACCTGACCCCCACACCCCTATCCGGATCCTACGAACTGGGCCCACACACTCCTCCACTGTCATTCCCGGTTTTCTCGAGGTTTGATACCGCAAAACCGCGCACTTTTCCCACAACTGGGAAGTAGAAAACCACTTGTTTCTGTACACCAACTTGTGTTTTGCATGGGCCTGTGGGCGTCCTACTAGGTTTAGGAGCCACAGGTTTTTCTGGTACTTTCTATCCTAATTAATATTAAAATTATTCAAAATACGAGTGAGTTATTTTAAATATTTTTTATCGTTAAAATTAAAAAATAAAAATTATTCATTATTATCCTTTTTTTCAAAAGTAAAAAAAAAAAATATTTCCAAATACTTGNTAAAAAATAAAAATTATTCATTATTATCCTTTTTTTCAAAAGTAAAAAAAAAAAAAATATTTCCAAATACTTGGGGTTTATTTGGTTGCAATATTAGAAATTAATGGATTATATAAAATAATTCAATTTAATACAATACAACATGACAAAAGACAAAATTAAATAGGATACTAAAATAATGCGTAATTTTATCTAGTGTTTGATAATAGACAACATAAACGTTGGATAATAATTATTTAATCTAATCAGTTGTTTGCTTAGAAAATTATTTTATCGTATTAATGTTGAATTAACAAAAATACCCTCAATCAGTGTTTGTTATATTGATGACAACTTGATTTTATCTGTTAGAGAGTTATGATAGTAACTGTGTAAAATAATACGTTTGAATTGAATTATAATACCACCTCTCTTTGTGGTATTAAAATATTTTTATAATATAGGTCAATCGTATAAAAAATATACGATAAGTAAATAATTAATATACATTTTTGAAATTAATACGGTATTAAATTTACTTACCAAACAGAGTATTAGATCTGATTAAATAAAAAATAGTACAATCTAATATGTAATCCCTTCATAATACGTTTACCAAACAAACCCTTAATTTCCTTTTGTAGTTTATATCTTGCCGCACTTTTGATCCGCATGTTTGGTTCGAGTATACCATAAAATGAGATTGGAGAATTGGTTTCAATTCAATTCGTATTGAATTTTGGTAGTTGGTGTATACTTTATCCTATCCCTATTATATCATGTTTGGATCAAACTATAGATGAAGCACGGATTCATTATCCCAATATTAATTTGTCTTTTGAATGAGAGATAATGAATGAGATAAATTTGAGATAGACAAAACAGCTAAAATCAATGCATGACTTTCGAACATATCAATCAGGTCTTATTTCATATGATATATTGTATAGTATTAATTTATACCAAGTATGTGGTGTAACAATACGTATATTACAATATTGGGTAGGTGTTGAATACTAACAAAGTCATTAATGCTCTGTTTGGTAAGAATAATGAAAGTAGGAGGGATAAAAAGTAAAAAGAGATACATTTTTTATCGAAGAAAAATAAAAATGATATATTTTATTTTCTTTGTATTTGGTAGAATGGAAAAAAAATAAAAATGATTAATTTTTTTTTTTGTGCTTGGTAAGATGGAAAAAAATATTTTTTATTTTTTAAATCTAATTTTTTATTTTTAAATTTTGAATTTTTTGTAAAAAAAATATAAATATATATTTTATTATTATATTTATATATGAAATTAATGTATATATGACATATGTATATATCAAAAGATATATGTATATAATAAAGTAGAACGAAGTTTAAATTTTGGTGACAAAGCATAAACAAATCCAATGCATACCGTAATCACAACATAAATGACAGTTTAAATTTTTTTAAAAATTTTGATCAAACGGTAATTACCGAATTTTATTTTCCCATCCACGTCTGTCTCACGCCTATCTCTCTCACATCTGCCTCACTCTCTCACGCCTCTCTCTCTCTTTCTCACGCCTCACTCTCTCAATCTATCACACGTCAATCACATGAAATCCATCTCAAATCTCACTCTCAATACGGGAATTAGGATGACTATTGATGATGCACAAAAATGGTTTTGTACACCACCCGTCAAGTGTAGATAATAAATGCAATGAAATCAATGAAAAAATTGAAGAAGACACAATTTATAGTGGTTCGGTCAATTCGACCTACGTCCACTCTTCAATGGCTTCAGTTGCCGGGTATTTTATTGATTCAAAGGTATGGAGAATGGAGATACAATCTTTGAGAGAGAGAATGGAGAACCAAAGAAAAATAGTAATCTCCGGTAGACGGTTCCTCCTCTGTATGTCTCTGGTGGGGCGTGATCCTCATCCTCCTTTTTTCCACCAGATCGGAGCTATTTTATAGCAGCTAAGAGATCATTCTTGTGGAGATCATGACATATCCTCAAGGCTTCTTTATCGCAGCTAAGAGATTATTCTTGGTGGAGATCACGACTTATTCTCAACGGAAGGAGGAGGTTGGGGAGCTCTTCATGAAACGTGGTCAAAGATTGAACCGTTTCCTTCGGTAGTACAGATAAGCTTCCCGTGATCTCCTCTTGGTGACGTGCTAAGCAAGAAGTCTAACCGGCCTTGGACTGTCTTGGACTTGGTGGATTTGGACCGTTTCCTTTGATGGTGCAGATAAGCTTCCCGTGCTCTCCTCTTGATGACGTGCTAAGCAAGAAGTCTAATCGGTCTTGGACTGTCTTGGGCTTGGTGGAATCAAAATGAGGTTGGGCTCCTCAACTGGGGTTGGACTTTAACACATAAATTGGACTATTTGGGCTTAACCCATCAACTATAGTAGAGAAAGACAAACGAAAGGCACAGAGAAAGAAGCAGAGGAGAAAGGCAGATAGAGAAGTGGAAGCTTAGAAATGCCATTTACTAGAATCCATCTCAATCTCACTTCAACACCGCTGCCAGGTATGTTTGTATTTCT